AACCGGACGTTTCCTCTCTCAGTTCACCTTCCCCACCCGCTGCGCTGCGGGCCCCGAGCCGGGTTAGCCTCCCGGCTGCTTCCCCAGCACCTGTCGCGACAGTCGGCGCTGCCGAGCATCGCCTCTCCCCTCAGACAGTTAGTAGAACGCCCGCCGGCTGGAGCAAGGGAGGTTCTCCGGGGCGATTTTGTCCGACGGCGCTGCATCCGAGCCCGGGGCAGCCCCACCGCTGTCCTGCGGGACAGAAACCTGCCAGCCATGATCCACCCAGCGCTATAAATTCCTTTTAATTGCTTTCTAACGTTGTATGGAAGTAGAGGAGTTCCAGGCTCCTGCTGATGGGCTGCTGTGCTCCACCAGTGTTACAGTACCCGCGCACGTCTCTAAGCTTTCTGCTGGCAGGGTTTCCACAGCGTTATTTTCTCAACGTGCTGTCTGCCAGCCGGCAGTTGAAGCGGGAACAACGGTTTGGCCGTAACGTGCAGAAGCAGCGTTAGTGTTAGTGGTTGGTAAAGCGAGTGCTTTGGCTCCTTCTGCCCTGCTTCAGGACAGGGTGGGGAAGATACCTGTTACCATGGAGAGGAATCGGTTGCACTCAAAGCTGGGAACGTCAGCTGCGGAGCGGTGGCAGAGGGGTGGGTGGCTGCCAGTTGGCTGCGGGTTTTGCAGCTCGCTGCTCCCCGGAGCTGTGCAGGGGAGCGGCTGGGGCAGCGCAGGGACTGCGCCTGTGGCTGAGGGCACCCGCGCTGAGCCCTGGCTTGCTTTGTCTGGGTGTCGTGCAGTTGCACATGGCAGGATTTAAACTTTGGTAATTGGCATAAACGTCGCTTAGATTTTCTGAGGGATGACTTGTCACATACTGTACGCTTAAAGCCAATTAATATTTTCTGATGCTATTTTGAGCTATCTTTTTTGCTATTGCAGAGCATATGGGATTTTTTTTTTCTGTTTTATTTTTAAACAAAGGGGTCGATATAAGGTGTCAAAGGTAAGAGATGGCTTTTACAAACTATTTCCAGGCTTTTAACAGTAAGCTAAGAACTTGGCTCTTGCAAAACACCAAGTAGTCCAAAGCTGTGGAATAAGAAAGATTGAAAACTGTAATGCGAAAGAATACAATAAAAAAACCCAAACAAACAAACTAAGAATTTAAATTGGTTTAATACCTTGTGTAGGATTGTTTTAAAAGCCCTTGAAGAGTTCGCTCTGCACTTAACTGTGAGACAGTTCTCTAAACTACACTAGTAGAAAGAAAAGTTAATTATCTACCAAATGCAACCGCAGTAGGTGGATGTTATCCAAATTTGACTATACTGTGTGGAGAAAAGAATATGAGAAGGTCAAACATGGTAGGATTTGTGTTCTCTGAAAAAAACGAAATTGGCTTTTGATACTGTTGAGGTTTTGAAGGATTTTTTTTTTTCGTGGTTCTGGAGTGGAGATATTCTCAATTTTTATTGTTTTGTTTTACCATCTTGTCTTGATGAAAGGACAGGAACTAAATATTTGCTCTGTACTTCGTTTAAATGTCAGCTGCTCTGATAGTGTTGCTGATATGGCTGTGGTCAGCTGGCAGTGAAACCGGACTCCCTCTGCCAAGGCTGAAAACCCAGCCGGCACTGCTGGGCGTCTTGGGCGTCTGTTGCTGGTGTTCTCCCATGTGTTTGCTGGCCCGAGACGGTCACTGTAAGAGGCCCTGAAACAACGTGTTTTATCCTTCATTCTCACAGGGGTTCTGCACAGGAAAGACTGAGGAGTCATTCACGCAAACTGTGGTGCTATAGGAAATAATAGGAGACGTCTCTCGCAGTGCAGGGGTGCCTGCTGCTTCAAGGGGAAGAGTTTTGTCACTGAGATGTCTGCAGTGGGAGGGGTCCCCAGATGGTTCTTCGTGTACCCCTTGTTTCCTGCTTAGCAATGGTACTGGGTACTCAGAGCTGATTTTTTTTTTTTTTTCATTTGTTCCTGCCTGGCTGTGTTTTATGCACTTATGTCCAAGCTTGGTGAAAGCACAAATCACTAAGATGCCACTTAAAGTAGCAGGGATTATTTTTTTATGTTGCTGATTGGGTTTTTATAATGCCATTCATGTAGCTGTGAGAGTTGGAATCAAAGGTGTTTTAGTTAATACCTACTAATCATGGAGAGGCTGGAGGCAAGGTGCTTTAGCTTCCAAAGCCCAGGTGTTCTCTGCACTTCTTCCTGTTGGGCAGAATTAAGTAACATGTGGCACAGGGTGATTTGGGAATCTTTGCAGTTGGAAAAGGTTTTTTTTTGGAGTTGTGAGTTGTTTCTTCCTGTTGCGTGTTTTGTTTTTGGTTTGTTTTTTTTTTTTTTTTTTATCCTTTTCTTTTTAGTTCTTTCTGCAGCATTGTTCGAAGTAGGTAAAATTTGTTCATGCACTCAGTGTGAAATGGAGACACTATAGAAAGCTAAGATGAAACCCCAAAGATAGCAAAAGTATTGCATGCCATTGTTTTGGTTCTGTAGCCAGGCAAGACCACTGAATGGCTGTCTGAGACAGCATCTCATTCTTTATTTTTATGTTCCCAGCAGAAAGAGCTCACGTCAAAGAAAAGAGATGAGTTTGAAGATATCTTGGAGGAAAGGCGATTGTCCAGTGACTTGAGATACGCAATGAAATGTTATACTCCTGTGATCTACAAAGGACTTTCACCTTGCAAGCCAAATGCTCTTAAAAGTGCTGTTCTCCAGTCAGAGCAAGTTCAATATGTTATCAAGCAGGTAAGTCTGGACACTGAGCTGTGAGACAGGATAAACTGAACACAGCCAAGCTTTGTGTAGTAGCAGGGAAAACAATACTATTGCTGACCTTGTTGAACATGATAGCTGCAGTCTGAATAAATCAGAAAGCTTGAGAGCCATACTCCTTTGGCAGTAAAAACAAACTCTTGATTTACCAGAGTTGCCACTAAATATCTTAGATAGATAATTCATGAAATAGTGTTTTGATTTTGCATATATGTCACTTCACCATCTAACATCCAATGCACTTGATTTTTTTTTTTCTCCTCCTCCTCCACAGAAAGCAGCATTGTGAATGACCTAAGTGTTCTCCTGCTTAGTAGACACTGTTGTACTTTGAGGATGTCTTGTAAGAATTTTATATGCTAGTGAAGTAGTTATGAATCAGTGATAAATGCTACTTTCCCTGAAATGAGAGTTAAATTTCACAGTGAATTCTTTAAATTAAAACCACTGAGATGTAACCATATTTTTGTTTTAAGATGAAGGGCAGCTACTGCTTTGTAACAAATAAACTAAATAGCTAAACTACTATACATTTTTTCAGTTTTTTTTTTTTCAGTTATCCAGTGTTACCTATGATATATGAAAGCCTGTTACAATGTGATAAACTAAACCATGTCCTACAAAGTATTCCTGTTGCCATCATGAATTGCTGAGTCATATGAAATCCCCCCCCCAAATTAACCTTTCAACCTTAGAAACACAAAAACATGTACCGAAAGAGAAGACATTACAGAAGATTTGGCAGAAAGACATTTCTGTGTTTTTTTTCTTCTGAAGTGCTGCTTTTTTTGATAGAAAATTATTTTGGTGGATATGTTCCTGGATAGCATGAAGTGAGTGAAGGGGGTTAGCAGACCTGGCACTGCAACCTACTTATCAGCTCTGCACTAGAGATTACTGGAAGTATCTAACTGAGACTACTAGTGTGCCTCCTGTGGGGCAAAGTTTACCCAGCTTTACCCAGGCATACTAGAATTTGTTCTTGTGACAAATTGCTGAGGTGCAGTATGTGAAATTAAGTGCAGTGTTTATATTAGCTTGTTAAATGTGATTGATCTGGCGTTTTTGATTCCTGATTTTGCTAAGCTCTTAGCTCTGTCTTGGATATGTTCCTAATTCACGCAGGGTAAACTGTGTGGTAATCCTTCTACTGGTGAATGAGAACAGTATCTCTTTGCCTAGTCAATAACAAGAATAATTTTTTGGCTTCCTAAATGAGACTGTTTTTTCTGGGACTCAAGGGGAACAAGGTTTTGGCTTCTTTAAGGTATAGTTAAATAATAAAGTTAAATAATATAGTTAAATAATCAGTTATAGCTACATGTGGAAAACACAGGCTGAAGGAAGCATTTATTGAAACAGAATTTAACCAGTAGATACAATAGTAAGGTGGTATGTGGAGATAGATTTTCTCATATGTCACAAAATAGAAATAATATGTAAGCAGTGCTGGCCTCTATTCAGAGACATCACAGAATAATAAATTGTTAGGGGTTGGAAGAGATCTCTGGAGATCATCGAGTCCACCCCCCCTGCCAGAGCAGGACCATCTAGTCTAGGGCAGGTCACACAGGAACACAGCCAGGCAGGTCTTAAAAGTCTCAAAGGAAGAAGACTCCACAAGCTCCCTGGGGAACCTGTTCCAGTGCTCTGGAACCCTTACAGGAAAGAAGTTCTTCCTCATGTTGAGGTGGAACTTCTGTGCTCCAGCTTGTGACCATTGCCCCGTGTCCTGTCGCAGGGCATAAGTGAAAAGAGGTTGCCCCTTCCTTCCTGACACCCAGCCCTCATCTATTTATGACATGCTTTTTCAAAGGCTTTTTCTTCTGCCATTCCTCCTCTTTGCTCTGTGTTTAGTGAAAGATGTGTTCCTCATTTCAGAATAGCAAAAGACTTATACTTTTCCATTAAATTTTTCTAGATTCAAAGTACCAAATAAGAGGGATGACCATTACTTATGTTTTAAGAAACTTCAAAAGGGAATGTACACAGCAACAGAAAAGAGATCATTGACATGCAGAGCTGGTAGGAACAGTGCTTTGTGTGTGTTTGTGCTAGCGTTGCCAAAGTAATACATTCCAAAGAAATTGAGCCATGATAGGGTTGAGTTTCTTCAGCCAAGTCTTAAAATCTAACCCAAATGGACTTCAGAGATTTACGTTGTGAACATCTTTTCAAACACAGGTCTCATATTGCTAGGCAAAGAAAATCTCACACAACCTTCTTCAGACCACTAATACAGGAAATATTCAAACTTAAATCTCCTCTGAAGATGCAAAAGGTTAAAACTTTCAGATGGTGTGTTTGTGGGGGAGGGGAACTGTTGCCTCCTCCCCCATTGACATCTAAGTTCATTCTTGATTTTTGAACAGCTTTAACTTTGCTTTCTCTTACGGCTGGTACCTAACAGATTCTGTATGATTCGACGTATGCCTGTCACATCAAATAACATCTTGCTGACTGTTGCAGTAGTTCTGTAGCAATTGCTGTGCCACAAGGATGGTGTCCATGGGCAGGGAGAAGGGAACTACATCTGACTGCTATTTCATTTATTTTGTTTCTCTTTAGTTAGCAAAAGAGATGGGAGAATCACCTGACATTATTCAAGAAGAAGCCACGGAAATCCTGGATGAGATGGGCCACAGTATGCAATTAGGAGCTGTCAGATTTTTTGCCTTTACTTTGAGCAAAATATTTAAGCAGCTTTTCCAGAGAGTTTGTGTCAATGAAGAAGGAATGCAGAGAGTGAGTACTGGTACTGAGGGGGGGTGTGTAATATTATATTTTCACACCAGTGATTTGGACAAAGACTGTAATTGTTCACTCCACGTAACAAGTGTGAAAAATACCTGTAAAAAAAAAAAAAGACTGCAATTGTGTTTATTACTGCATTTCTTAATAATTGGGGTGGAAGATGGATGATATATGAGTATTTTAGAGGCCAACACTCAGCCACTGAGAGAGTTTTTCTATCTGGTGTTATAAATTTAATAATGCATCTAGTTGAACTGGGCTGAAAGCCTAATGTTATGTGTCTGAGTTGGCTGTTCTGCAAAACCTTCATACAGCTAAGAGTGGTGAAACAATGTGCACCTCTGAGGCAGGTGCTGCTTTAAGTTTGCCTCACTTTCCTGAGGAGCTGTCATCCCTCTGTTTCATGGCTGCTGTTCTGGAGGGTGCAGTGCATTCCCTGGAAGACGGCAATGTCAGCCCTGATAATCTGTATTGGGTTTCCCATCTCCATCAAAAAGTATTTGAATTAGACTGTCGTGTAATGAGGAGGCCCTGACTTTGAGTCCTGTGATGCTTGTGAACCACAGGTTGCTAGTCTGGAAACTACTGCTCCAAATTTCTTATGATTCCATGCTGAAAAAAGTGTACAGTATGTGGACAGAGTAACCACTCTCAAACAAATCAGTTCTTGTTTCCCTTAAGCCCTGGGAAGGTTGGTATTTGCAAATTTCAACAATCAGTCTGTAAATATTGAAACAGTATTGTTTGTGCTGTTGTTTTTTTTTTTTTTTTTCAGTTGCAACATGCCATTCAGGAACATCCAGTTGTACTGCTGCCCAGTCACCGCAGCTATGTAGACTTTTTGATGCTGTCTTATTTGCTATATACGTATGACTTGGCTCTGCCTGTCATTGCTGCAGGAATAGGCAAGTATGTTCTTTTAACAATGTTTTCAGGATTCAGAGAGTCGGTAGCCAGGGGTCTGGTAGCTGCTTCTATAAGTAATTGTGTTTAACTTCTGTTTCAAGTACATGTTGTTAAAACCTCCTTGGGTGATATGCTTAGAGTGTCTGAAAACTTGTCATTGGTGCTGAGTCCAATCAAAGGTGAATTTTTGCATAACAGGTTTGCCCAGAAGTACCCCATCTGTAGACCCAAGGGTAGGGCAAAGATAGGTGTTGTGAAGAAGACTTCTGTATTGCTTTTTTTGGCCTGGGAACAGGCAGAAACTTGCCCAGGAGCAAGAACCTTTTGTGACACTTCATACAGTTTTCTGTGCAGTTGTAGTCGCCCGATGTGAAGGGCAAAAACCACCTCGTGCTTGTTGCTGATGTTACAGATTGCCTTGGAGCATTGGCAGAACACTGTTATGTGAAGTGCTGAGAGCAGAGCTGGCTGGGAAATGAAATCTCACATCAGAGGCCATGATTTTGAACATAGTTAATTCTAAAGCAGATGAAGCCACTATATTTGTGGGAAACAACTCCTTAAGATTTTAACAGTAAATATCTTCTGAGTTTATGTGCTTTTTGAAAACCCAGACTTGGGCAGCACTTAACTGAGAAACCTGAGCTTGGAACTCTTGGCTATCAGCCATGTCTTCTAAGGAGGCAGACAATAGCCTCGGCTATTCAGTACTGTAATGTGCACAGGAAAACTAGAAAACATCTGGGAACTTAGTATTTTACTGTAGTCTACTTTTCCAATCAAGAGGTTAGGAAGACCAGTAGAAAATCTGCAGAAGCTGAGAGAATGATCTTTGGGTTACAGGTATCTTGCCTCCAGGTGATGCATGTTAGATTCTGGTGAATCCAGAAGTTAATGTCTCATAGCAGCCTTGATCAAGGTGTTGCAGCTGCTTACCTGCCACCCTTTGTTCAGAATCTGATCACATGCTGTCATAGGTATCAGTGCAATACTTTGCTGACTTCTGGATTAGAGCTTTTCTGAGTTTTAGGCCTCAAAACAGTATTTTAAGATACTATTAGCCAGCTTAGAGGGATTTTTTTAGTGATTAACATTTTTTAAAGTGTTTTGGGGTCAAAGTTCTCCTAGAATTAGGGTGTTGCAGCTTGATTATACTGCTGCATGTGTGTTTTATTTTAAATTCCTCTGGAGAAAACACATTTCTCTGTGGTTGTAGTTGTCTTTACTGCACATTGTATTAGAGGTTCACAAGATGCAGTTCACAGACCCGCTCTCAAAGTGGTACTTGTGCCTAGTGAAGAGGTGCTCTCCTGATATAGGTGGCAAGTGCCTTTGTTTGGCTCCAAGTAGCATGCAGATGGCAACCTTCAAAAATATCTTCAAAACAGGGACACCTGGTGTTGTCTTCCTTGCTGTTTTTTGTCCAAGGTCGGCCAAGCCGACCTTTTTTGAGAGAAAACCAAAAGGAATATTTCTTCCACTATTTTAGTTTTAATCACACATTTCTCAGGGTAGAGAGAAATAGTTTCCCAGCAAAGAGAAAAATCCTCTGCCTAGTTGTGAGAATCAACTTTAAGTCAGGGCTTGAGGTTCAGACCTCAGCATTTCACTCGGTCCTTTGACACATGGATGAACCACAACCTTCATACCACCCCTAGGACTGTCTGGTTTTGAGATTCATCTACATGTCAACTCTAATTCAGGGCTCAGGGTTCAGACCCTAACACTTCAACAAGTTAAGCATTGACCTTTGTTGCTTAAAACTAGAAAACTATAAAAAAAATTTAGCTGGTTTAGTGTACGCCTCTCAAAGTGATGAGTCAGGATCATAAATAGTATAATATAGTGTAATTGCTCAGCTAATTTCCGTGTCTCTTAGGAAACATTCAGTGGTAACCACCTTCTGAAAATGAGTGAGACAATGTATTTCAAAACCAGTTCTATTGTGGTTGAAATCTGGCCATCTAAATTATGAAAATAAATTGCTATAAGTGAATGTTGCTTACAAAAAAAAAAGCAAGCATATTATAACATGCTGTTCATGTCTATGTAAGTCTTGCTAGACAATCTGAAAGCAAATAACCTTATTTGCAATAAGAGAATCCTTGGAAGAGAACTTTTTTATTTCTTTATTCTTGTTAATTGAACTAGCGTGTTAGAAAAAGTGGTTGATTCTGATGGCTGATATTAATCAAGAAGTTTTGTAAGTGTGGTTTTGTTTTTTAATTGATTGTTTTTCAGATTTTCTAGGAATGAAAATAGTTGGTGAGCTGCTACGAAGGGCAGGTGCCTTTTTTATGCGACGTTCCTTCGGCGGGAACAGACTCTACTGGGCAGTGTTTGCTGAATATGTGAAAACAATGTTAAGGGTAAATAAATTACTGAACTCTCAAAATGTATGCTTAAGAAACATTCTGTTGGAATGATTCCTGTGAAATATGCACAACGTTATAGCTATGTGATTTAAAATCTTCACTGTGAAGTCTTCACTTTGTTTATTTAACTATATGGTGTGGCAGATACAGTGGATGAATTTAGGCTTAGAGATAACTGAAGTTAGACATGCATGGCTTCCCTTAAAAAAAGCTTACTTGCATTTTAAGTACTTAAATCTATTTGTGGGTAGTAAAGAAGAGATGTTTTTATTTTTCTGACCAGCTTTTCTTTGTTTGTTTTACTTTTGAAGAGTGGCTATGCCCCAATCGAGTTTTTTCTTGAAGGAACTAGAAGCCGCACTGCCAAGACTCTGACTCCCAAGTTTGGTAGGTTTGTTGAAAACTTGGAAGTTTTAATGTTTATTAGTGTTTTCATTAGTGGCTATGTGCTTTCAAAGCTCTTCAGACAGGAAGAGGTATTAAAGAGGTGGGAAATTGGTGAGATCTGTCAGCATAGTGGAGAATACTACTGGTTTGAGTTCTGAGGCCACACAAAGAGTGACAATACGAGTCTCTTGAACCTTTACTGCTTTCTCTCCCTTTGTCCCATTGTGTACTTAATTGCATAACTCTTCAACCTTTTCTTTCTAAAAAATAGCTGTCCCCTGACTAGCAGAGAAATACTGCAAACTAACTGTAAAAGCCATGGGGAATCTTGAGAAGGAAGATGCTGTGCGAGTGCAGAGCAGTGCTTCTGGAGAGGGCACAAATAGCTGTCCAAACGCGTTGCTCACACTTACCTTCTTTTTTAAAGCTTGTCTTGTGCCTTGTGCTTCTGCTTGCTGGAAGAGAACAGGCACAGTGCACACCTATTGGCAGTTTCTAAAATTTGAAGATACGTTTTTCAAAGTTAAAGTTGCTTTTCCCTCCTTGAAAAAGACAAGTGATTCACTTTTTTCCCCCCCTTTCTTTTCAACTTACAGGTCTTCTCAGCATTGTGATGGAACCATTTTTTAAACGTGAAGTTTTTGACACGTACCTTGTTCCCATCAGCATCAGCTACGAGAGGATATTAGAAGAAACTCTCTATGCATATGAGCTCCTAGGAGTCCCAAAGCCCAAAGAATCTACATCTGTATGTAAATTCCTTATAAACAGAACATACGTGGATGTATGCACACCCTGTAGCACCAAAACTTGAGTTTTGCCCTTCCTGTTTTCATAGGGGTTATTAAAAGCCAGGAGAATCCTCAGTGACAATTTTGGTACCATACATATCTACGTTGGCCAGCCAGTATCACTTAGAGCCTTGGCATCTGGGAGGATCAATCGGTGCCCATTCAACTTGGTCCCGAGGTACCACATCTTTCCATAGTGTATGCACAGGAAAAGTGTTTCTTTAGTTCTCCCCATGTAAAATAATTAAGATGTTCCCTTGTTCTTTGCTTTCAACTTCTCTTGCCTCCCCTCCACTTGACTATTTA